AGTTATAATAATAGTAGCGGTAGTAATAATAAATGATAACAAAAATTATGATAATACTAATGGTGATAATAATAATGATTATGATTATATTTATAATTATAATTATGATTATATTTATAATTATAATTATGATTATATTTATAATTATAATTATGATTATAATTATAGCAATGATAAAAATAATAATATTATTATAATTATTGCTATTGTTGTTATCATTATCATCATTATTATTATTATTATTATTATTATTATTATTGTTGTTGTTATTGTTATTGTTATTATAGTTAATGATATTGTTGTTATTATAATCTTAGTTAAGATAATAATAATAAAAAAATATTATTATTATTATTATAATTTTCATTATTTTTTTATCCTTATTATTATAATTGTTATTATTTTCATTATTATTATTATCATTATCATTATCATTATCATTATCATTATCATTATCATTATGATGATAATGATAATGATAATGATAATGATAATGATAATGATAATGATAATGATAATGATAATGATAATGATAATGATGATGATGATGATGATGATGATGATGATGATGATGATAATAATGATAATGATAATGATAATGATAATGATAATGATAATGATAATGATAATGATAATGATGATGATGATGATGATGATGATGATGATGATGATGATGATGATGATAATAATGATAATGATAATGATAATGATGATGATAATAAAGCCAACAACTATAATAAAAATACTGATAAAAGCGGGGAAAGAGATCCTGTCGCCATAAGCCGGGAATTAATCCTTAAAGACCTTTTTTCCCGACAGGAAATTAAAATGGCGTGAAAACAGTGACATCAAACAGGGCTTCGCAAAATGACTCTAAACATCAAGGATTTTCCGTGAACGCTATGCTGGAGAAAAACGTTTAACGGCAAAGAAAATAAAAGAAAAAAAGAAATAGAAAAAAAAGAGAGAAGGGGGTTACGGAATAAAAAAAAATAAATAAATAAATAAAAAAAAACGATAATGAAGCGAAATAGCAAAATCAAAGAAAATACGAATAAAAGTATCCAATAAAAACTAATCTCTTATACAAAATAGGGTAAACAGGGCGATATACAGGTTTATAGAATTAAAACAAGACAATGGAATTTATCAAAGTGATGAATTACTTGAAATTAAACACAAGAAATCGTAAAGTCTCATTTCATTTCTGTTTCTGTTGTCTGGTGAATAGGACTGTCATCCTCGAAACATCATGATTAATTGTTTCTTTACTACAATGAGTGTTTAATTCCATCATCGTACGTACGATTTTTTTTTATTGTCGTTCTTAGAAATCTTTTTTCCCCAGCGCGGTTTTGCGAAGCTTAGCAATCACCACTTTAAATAGTTGAATCGTAGATGATCTAGATATAAAAAAGGAAACTTAAATGATGTAAAAGCATTAGTGTGAAATCTAAATTAATTGGCTACTTTGTAGGGGAGACAATAATAAAAACAGTGATATTTTTATCGGATTTCTGTATTCATGTGACACCCTACTTCTCTTTTTTGGATATTTCAAATGGAAGTGCTTCAGGAACTAATGAATCTATTTCTAAAAAATAAAAAAAATAAAAAAAAATATAAAAAAAATAAAAAATCTTATACCAACAAGGTGGAGAATCTAACTTTACTGGTTAGAAAAGTTAATGTGCGACTTCTAGCGTCTTGTCTAATGCAATATAATTCGAGTCATGATATCTGATGAGGCTCTGACAAAACTTGGATGGAATATGAAGTCAGATAAATTTTCAATCTGCTTTAGAAATCTTGAGAATCTTGAGTGTTTCAGTGGCACTGGCTGAGAACAGAAATTGGTTTCGACATTATAATCTTACGCCGTGGATTCGGAAGTTCAATTCCAAGAGACTATGAAGTAGTTTACAAATGCAAGAACGGTATTATTTTTATTTCGCTTCTTCTCACTCCCTACTTTTAGGCACGAAGAACTTTTTCAAAGCAATATAAGCAGGGATATTAACATCTTTCCTAATGCTACAGACCGGTAAAATTGCCAAACACGCCAAAGAATGAAATTACTTCAAGATATCCAACGAAAGAATAATGTCAACAAAACGACTAAGCAAGAGAAATTGCCAACAGATGGAAATTGCAAAAAATAGTCCCCTTCCAGTCTTAACAATAGAATGAAAAGTGATTCCTACTTGCATTCCTGCTTTCTCATATTTCACCAGGGACGAGTCTTTTTTTCCCCTAGATCTGCTTGCAAAAAACACCATTATGTCCTTTCAAATACACTTGTAGAAAAGTTATGGATGTGAAAAAATATATATATATTTCCGTGTGTAGTTTCTTTTTGGTTTTATATGTTCATCCGAAGTACAGAAACCTCAGAAAATCTTTTTATTGCTTCATCCGTAGAATCAGGCCTAGAAATGGATAATCTTTGTTTCAATGATGCTATTAAAAGGGTATACGCATTTTAACAGTGGACTATATATATAGCTTTAGAAAAAAAATACCTTCGACGGAAAAGACTAACAAATATGAGTAGCGAGTACATCCCTCATCAAATTAAAATTATTAATAAAGCAAAAAATAAATAAATAAAATACATGTAGTTACAATGCTCGCGTCAAACTTAATCACGCCATCACAAGATATTAATATGTTTCTGCAACGAGATAGGAAATACTGAAAAATAGTGTAAAAGAGCAAAGCACATACTATTATCGTAAGCAATGAATTTACACATTATCATAATTCTTCTGTGGAAGAAAAATGAGAGTAATGCATATATCCAATTTAATTAATATACGAGTTTATGACAAAGCATTTGAGAGTATCACGTAATATCCTAAAGAAAATAATAATAAAGCTGACACGGAGAGAAAGGATAAAAAAGGAGAGAAAAAAATAAATTCTGAAAGAAAAGTGATGATATTTATAAAGAAATATATCACAAATGTATGCGGTCACTGAAATAATCAGCTGGCACTATGAAGCAAATGAGTTACGGCTTCACGAATTCATGCAAGTGTGTAAAGATTTTTGAGATTTGCTAAGCCCGCAGTTTTTCGTATTATTAAGACTGCATTCTTCGAAGACGCAGAAAGACAGCTCCTTGAAGGACTTCTCCAGAGCTATTTTAATGACCTGGGAAATTCCAAGAAACGTTCCACATCATGTTCAGTTCATGTTCCAAGAAACGTTCCTCGTGTGAAGGAGAAAATACAGTTTACGTATGGAGAGACAAATGACCATTAGATCAGCAGTAGGATGAGCACATAAGAAAATCTATCTAAAATGTCATATTCATGCGATGTAATAATAATATCATAGTTCATTTACACATGAAGAGATAACATTCAGCTTGCAAACGTAAGCTCTGAGTTGTTGGGCATTTTAATATTAAGCTCACTTACACAAACTTTTCGGGAAATATAAGCATGATTAAGTACCTTTGGAATTACATTGCAATCTGCAAGACAACAATTGATGTAAAATACCTAGAAATCTAGTAAGGTAAACTTCAGCATCGTGCTAGTCAACATGTTTTTTATGTTAACTAACTAATGAAAAACAAATGGTCGATGGAAAAAAAATATATACAACAGTTTACTTTATTGTTAAACATGGTATGTACGCTCATAAAACTAGCACCAAGTGATGTTATAAAAGAATAAAGGAATTCTAAGATTAGAACTTAAATTTCATTTTCCTACTCGTAATTGGGAATAAGACTTCTGTGTAATGGAGTCTACAGAAAGAGGAGAGTAAACAAGGCCATTATTTTCCCATCTAACAAAGACGCTGAGAATGTTATGCGATATATCTTTTTTGATATATATATATATATATATATTTTTTTTTTTTTTTTTTTTTTTTTTTTTTTTTTTTTTTTTTTTTTTTTTGGTGGTTGGGGGTGAAGGGGATCTCGTTGTAAGGAATATAATCCTGAAATCCTACAAGGTAATGGCAGTCTTACGTTCCTGTCCTTAGAAATAGCACTGATACCAAGCAGCACTTTTTATTTATATCGAAAACGCAGAAGAAAAAAAAAAAAAAAAAAAAACACTTAATCGAACCTGTGGCATCAGGGATTTAGCGAGTGAAATATTTACCTTTGAATAATGAGAGGTACTGAGGGGGGGGGGGGGGAGACATCAGCAGAAAGAGAGTCCCAGAGCTTAGAAGCAGAAGGGAAAAAAAAAGAAACGTCAAAACAACCAGTCCTTGAGTTGTCATTTTTCGCGGACTATTGATGCCATGACACCGGGATCCTCGCCTTTCTCTTATTATTATTCGAAATTAAACTTGAAATCTGACTCGTCCATTTTAGGATTTGAAACCTGACACGATGCAGTCTGATTCGGTTTTTCTTCGTCTTATTTCTCATTAGAAGAGACATGAATGAGAATGAACATTTACAGTGCTGCAAGAGGTGATATCGAGACAATGATCAGTTAATCTTGGTCTGTGGGATTTATTCATTCTGATTCTCCGGCAAGCATAACCCATGACCACAGTGACAATATGAAAACCATTCTAGCAAATCCTGTTTTTTTTCTCTCTCTCTCTTTTTTCCATGTATTGATTAAGAAATATGTAGTTTGCCTTTTTTTAATCTCATATAAATATTGAAATGGTGCTAAAGAAGTAAAATAATGCACATAAAAAAAAATTAATTAATGACATTATTGCAAAAAGCTGTTTCAACACTAACAAAAGGAAAAATAGCTTAGGAAATCTTAGAATTATGCTAGGACTAAATTATTACTACCCTTATATGTCTCATTGTCTTGTTTAGGTCAAGAACACACAATCAGATAAAAAAGTTATTTACACATATAAAATGGGTATGTATTACTCATCTGTCTGGCAGCAAGGCATTGCACACACCTGTACTGAACCTGTGAGTTTCATTATCTGACCTACCTGCTAAACTCCTTTGGTTCTGTATATACATATCCTCAGTTTATAGCCCCCTACAATCTGCTACGTGGTCTCTAGTTTTGGAACCAACTGTACTACGTATGATAACTCTTTGAGCAACTCATGATGGATAACAAAGGGCAATACAGTTCGTGCTAACACTGCTGATAGTTACTAAGAAGTGAGACTTTGAAGCAAACAATGCAAAGTAGAGGGCATTGCCTTGAGGACGATATTCATGAGAGAACCTAATACCAAAGAAACGAATGAACTAAAAGATATGACGAAAATAATCCAAGAATTATAGCAACCAGAAAGTAGGGCCCAACCTATGAACACTTCAGTCATGGACCTCTATGTACATCCATGGCAGAGTAATTCATGAGAACACATGGTCATGTCACAGATCCATGAAATTCAGTTACAAATGTGCATAATTCTCAAGAACGAAAATCTGCAAGGAAAAATCGCAAAATAGATAAAAAGTGCAAAACGACAGATGTCATACTCATGCATTCGCTTCTACAGAAAGCCATAAAGGACAAATGGCGACGACTTCCTTGTGCATGTATAGAGGACACCAACATAGCATGTCTTAGAGGACCCGAGTCTTTTCTGTTTTCATGATACCCATTCGTATAATTTCTTTCAGGACACATGTGTCTTATGTAAATTGGGATGTTACGTGATCATATATATAGGTAATATTTTCCAGTAGATTCAGTTACTTGTCAACATTCGCAGGCAATAGTCATCACGCCTCACGATCGATTATAGAGGAAGAGAAAGGCTTAGAAAATTGAAATACGCAAGTTGCTGATTTCTACACCTAACATATAACTCGGATTCGCTCCCGGGACTCTCCTGCAGGGGGGTAAGACGACGCCCTTGCGGAATTTTGGTCCTTTTAGCACCTCCCTTAGCTGGTTGGCTACCTTTCCGAGCGTCACTTACTTTATAAGCATATTCTACCTGTGATATTCACTCTCTAGTATATCATATACTGATATGATATACATATATAAGACCACTCAGAAAAATAGTAACACAATGGACTATCCAAGCCAATCGCAGGACACTCTAACCCACTTAGTACGAAAGGCCAATACTCACGCAGGAGTCGATGCCCACGAAGAAGAGCATGAGGAAGAAGAGGACACACCAGAGAGGAGCGAGAGGCATCAGGGACAGCGCCTCGGGGTAGATGATGAAAGCTAACCCAGACCCTGTGGGAAGGAATTCGTTAATGAATGCGTCTGTCAAAAGAAAAATATGGATAGCAATAACAAGGAAAGACCATAATTAGCAAAAAAAAACAAAAAAAAACAAGGACCATAATTAACGAAAAGGACAATCATTTCCCAAACAAAAAAAAAGGAAAATAACATGGGCCATAATTAATAAATAAAAAGAAAAAAAGACACGGAAAAGAAAAAAAGAACGGGACATAACTAACAGATGAAAATCAAAAAAGGAGAGAAAAACATGGACCACAATTAGCAAATCAAAAAAGAAAAAAATATAAATATAACACGCGGGCCATAATTAACCGATGAATCATTTCGAACACTGACTATTATGAAGCGCATTGCTGTGGCATATATCATAATCATAAATCATGAGCTTCAATTTAAAAAAAGGCTATTTGTGAGATCACATGGACGATAATGAATCATTTAATGAATCAAAACACTGATTTTTTATGAAAATTTTTATCGCACTACGTTTTTTTTTTTTTTTTTTTTTTTTTTTTTTGAGGTCGTGGTTAATACATACCAATGAAAAAATATAGTATAATAACCATTTCATATACGGGACAGGCACAGTGACCAACGGCAATGTCAAGATCAACTTTAATTCCGTTAGATATAGCAGAACATATATGAATGAAAATTCTTATCTCCTCAGTAAAAGAGATATATTTAACCAGTTTCAATTATATTTTCCTCAGAAATACAAGCATTTCTGACATAGATATGGTCGAAACCGAAGATATCATAGAAATCGATCAAAAACATATTTTGCACTGTGATTATATTAATTCTCATCCATACCTTTTCTACACTTATCGCAATGAAGACGGTTCTTTGTTAAGTATGTGAAAAATATGCAAATGAGGGTATTGCCAGTGGTTACGGTTAGGAATTATCATGTTTATGATTAATGAAATTAAACCTATCTGTAGAAAGAGGAGGAACAATTAATTCTTCAAGTCCAGATTTAATCATTATGATAAGTAAATGGATAATTAAAAGTTATTTTTATGGTTCTATGACGAGTTTAGCTTGAACTTGTTGAATATTTGAATTCTGTGTTATTATCTTGTGACGATAAATTCCATGTCAATATCTCTGTTGAAGATATCGTTACATCTCTCCTCATTTTTTGTCAACAGATAGTACGCGATAAAACAAATGCACTCTCACTCACCCATTCGCCTACTCCCATTCGGCTATACACACACGCACACGCCAGACTGTCACACACCCACGTACATTCACACACATGTATACGCGCCCTAACACATAAATACTCACGCTTGTTCACTCACACACACTTCCATATAACCGTAAACACAAATACTTATGCCCTTTCTTACACATTCACATGTCCCAAAACTCTTACGCTCGTCCATTCATCCACATTTAGCCTAAAACATAAATACTTACTTTTATTCACACATACACACTCCCACAAACTCCGGAACACAAATATTTATGCTCATTCACTCACATACACTAACACATACCCTAACACAGAAATACTTACCCTCATTCACTCACATACATTTACGCATACCCCCAAACACAAATACTTATACTTACGCACATACCTACACATACTCAAAAACACAAATACTGACGCTCATTCATTTATACACACTCACACATACCAAAGAAAAAAAAACATATGCTTGCTCTCATTCTAACACACACACCCTTGTACTTACAGACACTCACCACGCAACGAAAAATACGCGCCCGTCCTCCCAACCGCCCATGACCTTTCCTCTCACTCACCCGCAGCAGTGACCTTGTCCACGGTCGTGCCCAAGCGGTGTGCCATGAAACCGAGGACTGAGAATACCACAAACCCAACGAAGATCGAAGTCATGGCACACACAATGGGCACGATCTTCGCCGTTCTCATGCTGCTGCTCCGGAATTTGTTGTGTGAACTCATCGTGGTGAGAACGCCGTAGCCCGGAGTCATGGAGAAGAAGATCTGGACGGCCGCCGCTGCCCACACCTGAGGGAGGGAATCGAACCGGTTAGGGAGGAAGGAAGAGGGAGGAATGTGGTGTAAGCTGGATATGAGTAGATTACGAAGGGTAGGCTTGATAATAAGTGTGATAAGAAAGAGGAGATTGGTTATAAGGTATTTATTTATGCAGTATGAATACGGCAACGAAAGTATGGATTTAAGGTAATTCAGACTAGTATTTTATGATACCTATAACCAATAAAATATTTCAGAATTTACCGTCGATGTTCAGCAGCACACAAGAGCGTATACCTGCCTGCAGTGTCATGCGCCTTATGACCACTCAACCAGTTAACAGTAATAGTTCCTTGGCTTGTATCACCCTTGACCGATAATTCCCAGAAATTAGAAAATTCAAATTTCAAATTTCTTTCTTAAGATGATTATGAGGAGGTAATTCCTTGGCTACGAAATAAACAGGATAGGCTTTGTTGGGTCTGTTAAGGTTAGTGTGAAGTGGCCCATCGAGAAGGGATCCATGAGGGAGAGAAAAGCCCCATTTGCTGGAAATAAGGGGCGTTATTCACGAAAGGTCATAGACTTCGAAATGTATCTTTGACAGAAAAAAAGACTGCTCTGAGATTTTGTCTATGACTTATCGCGAAAATGTGTTTAACTCTATTTTTGTATATTATTCGACCGATGTTTAAGACAGTTCCGGAGGTGATCTACACGCGTAAGGACCACAACAATAATACTGCGATTCCACAATTGTTGAAGATGACTCCATATCAAAAATTAAATGAAAAACTTTTCTGACACTTTTTTACTTATTGTCAGTTGTTAATTGGGACGCTTCCTCCTTGTTTACTGCAGTTTTCTCATAGATAAATACAAAAGACGCCGCGCACCTTCTCAGGATGCCATGTAAACATATAAGATGTGTTAGCTATGTAATATTATAGTTATTATACACTTGAGATTCACTGCAATAGAGATTATTTTATTATTACATTGAATTATTATTATTATAAGGTCTTCTAAAATGTGAATATTAATTCGTGTTAACTTTTAAGGACAGTTTTTAGACTGAGTCATAGACAAATTTTGGAGTTAAAGACTATTTTTAGGAAAGTCCTCAAATTTGTCCAAAAAAAATTCCAGTCTTTCGTGCATTCCGCCCAAGAGGACTAGGTGTCGAGTTTTCTTTTCTGTTTATGAGTCAATAAATATTTTGACATTCATCTCCGCTGGAAACCTCGGTGAATTAGTTCCTAAAATATCCACTTACAATAGAAATGAAATGCCACAAACGTTCAAAACACACACAGACCTGGAAAACCCTAATCTCAGTTCCACAGAAGGCTATCATCAAAGGAATTAAAGAATTATAGCTATATTGAGAAACACTGATTATGAAGAAAGGATAATAGGTATAGTATTGGACACTGAATACGATAATAAGGAAAAGTTATTAGTGTAATAATGGACATTTATAAATATAGATGAAATCAATGAAAATATATTAAGTATGATAAGGCAAAGTAATAAGTATGATAATTATACATACACAATAAAAGAAATGAATCAATGTGACGAAGAAAAATAAGTCTTAAAATCAGAATGAATAATCATATTAAATTTGTAAACCATATAAACTAAAAAGTTGTCAAGTACACCTGAGTAAAATTAATAATCTTTATAACTGAAATGACTGACTATAAATGGAAACATTTAAGGTTACAATGCGCCATGGACTGATAGAGAAGGAATAGGTCGATAAGAACAGGTAATAATTAGTTAATACATGTAACTACTTGCAATAATGATATGACAAATAAACTATAAACTGTGTATATATTAATAACATAAAAAACAGTCATTCTTTCTGTAATATTTTAAATTCAGTTTAAGGAATTAGTGTTCTATGCAACAGATAATAAAACAGCCGATAACTTCGACAACCACCCTTGGATCACCGGCAAGAATAAGACAAAATAACTCCCAGGTGCACATATGTCTATGAGAGGAGAGGTGCACCCTCCCCTGGTTCATTCCATCTTGAACCAGAGGAAACTCGTGTGTTTGCCATGCGTGCAACCCGCGCTACTGGGAGGCAAGAGTCATGGGGTTGAACAGTGCTGTGTCCTAGAGCTAACGCACTACGCACCTTTGATCATCTGTTCTATTCAGACAAGCGTTTAAATCTCAGCCTGGCCAAGTTAATCAGCTGTTTCAATGGCTAGGGTTAAGCAGACGTGCTGGGTGGTGTCTGTATATATTTCACCGCTATCAATGTGGATTTTGGATAGATTCCCCGAGATATAACTTCTATTGGACTTTTGATGGGCGAGGGGCGAGGAAGAGAAGACTTTATAATCTATACTGGAAGTACAAATCTGAAAAGGCCTATCTCACCGTGAAAAATTGCCTGATTTCCCTGAGAGGATGCCAAGATCAAGCCTATTATAGGACCTTTGATAATAGACTTCGAGGGAATCAATGATGATACATCAAGGCTGTAAGGATAGCTTTGAGTAGACATAACGGAATAACACTAATCTACCTAGTTATATATTATCCCATAGATGATTTGTCACCTATGCCATTTCTGCTCTTGAGAGACTTCATCAGCCACTGCAACAGCTGAGGAAAGACTTTACAGTTGTCGTTTAAACGAGTTAACGCAATGATACTGAAAGGGATATACTAATAGTGACTTGATTGCTAGTTCAGCTGGAACACAAATGGATTTAACTTGACATGCCATGAGAGCGACCACTCTCCTATAGTGTTGGAGAAGGTGATTGACATTTCAGCCAGTGGAGTGCAGAGATGATGATTTGCACATACAGACGGGACTATTTTTCATCAACTACAGTAATGCAAGGATTCGTTGATCTCTTCTAGTGTATCCAGGAAGCTGTTGATTTCCTCACAACAAGAATTCACTGAGTAACAGAAGCACCCATTCCCAAAAGTAGTGAATGATACCACGATCCACTGGCACCACGGTGGTACCAGCTAGAGATGACTCTGGTGGCTATTGTTCATCCCAACCAAACAGTAGTAGTGTTGGCAGGGCTGAGAATGGGACTCACAAGATTGACTCGTGGCCAATTTACGTCGAGAGTAATGGATTCTATACTTTGTGAGGAATAAGATGAGGCATTAACGGTTGTTCATTTAATGAAAGAGTGTCCAGAATTCTCAGACTAAAGACTTTTGTGTCTGTCTTTGTAATATATGCTGCAAAGTGTATCGGAAGACGCCTATTGTGGTAGTCCTTAATCTATAGCATTATTATCATTATCAATCTATATCATTATTATCATTATCAATCTATAGCATTATTATCATTATCAATCTATATCATTATTATCATTATCAATCTATAGCATTATTATCATTATCAATCTATAGCATTATTATCATTATCAATCTATAGCATTATTATCATTATCAATCTATAGCATTATTATCATTATCAATCTATAGCATTATTATCATTATCAATCTATAGCATTATTATCATTATCAATCTATATCATTATTATCATTATCAATCTATAGCATTATTATCATTATCAATCTATAGCATTATTATCATTATCAATCTATATCATTATTATCATTATCAATCTATAGCATTATTATCATTATCAATCTATAGCATTATTATCATTATCAATCTATAGCATTATTATCATTATCAATCTATATCATTATTATCATTATCAATCTATATCATTATTATCATTATCAATCTATAGCATTATTATCATTATCAATCTATAGCATTATTATCATTATCAATCTATAGCATTATTATCATTATCAATCTATAGCATTATTATCATTATCAATCTATAGCATTATTATCATTATCAATCTATAGCATTATTATCATTATCAATCTATAGCATTATTATCATTATCAATCTATAGCATTATTATCATTATCAATCTATAGCATTATTATCATTATCAATCTATAGCATTATTATCATTATCAATCTATAGCATTATTATCATTATCAATCTATATCATTATTATCATTATCAATCTATAGCATTATTATCATTATCAATCTATATCATTATTATCATTATCAATCTATAGCATTATTATCATTATCAATCTATAGCATTATTATCATTATCAATCTATAGCATTATTATCATTATCAATCTATAGCATTATTATCATTATCAATCTATAGCATTATTATCATTATCAATCTATAGCATTATTATCATTATCAATCTATAGCATTATTATCATTATCAATCTATAGCATTATTATCATTATCAATCTATAGCATTATTATCATTATCAATCTATAGCATTATTATCATTATCAATCTATAGCATTATTATCATTATCAATCTATATCATTATTATCATTATCAATCTATAGCATTATTATCATTATCAATCTATAGCATTATTATCATTATCAATCTATAGCATTATTATCATTATCAATCTATAGCATTATTATCATTATCAATCTATAGCATTATTATCATTATCAATCTATAGCATTATTATCATTATCAATCTATAGCATTATTATCATTATCAATCTATAGCATTATTATCATTATCAATCTATATCATTATTATCATTATCAATCTATAGCATTATTATCATTATCAATCTATATCATTATTATCATTATCAATCTATAGCATTATTATCATTATCAATCTATATCATTATTATCATTATCAATCTATAGCATTATTATCATTATCAATCTATATCATTGTTATCATTATCAATCTATATCATTATTATCATTATCAATCTATAGCATTATTATCATTATCAATCTATAGCATTATTATCATTATCAATCTATAGCATTATTATCATTATCAATCTATAGCATTATTATCATTATCAATCTATATCATTGTTATCATTATCAATCTATATCATTATTATCATTATCAATCTATAGCATTATTATCATTATCAATCTATATCATTATTATCATTATCAATCTATATCATTATTATCATTATCAATCTATAGCATTATTATCATTATCAATCTATATCATTATTATCATTATCAATCTATATCATTATTATCATTATCAATCTATAGCATTATTATCATTATCAATCTATAGCATTATTATCATTATCAATCTATATCATTATTATCATTATCAATCTATAGCATTATTATCATTATCAATCTATAGCATTATTATCATTATCAATCTATAGCATTATTATCATTATCAATCTATAGCATTATTATCATTATCAATCTATAGCATTATTATCATTATCAATCTATAGCATTATTATCATTATCAATCTATATCATTATTATCATTATCAATCTATAGCATTATTATCATTATCAATCTATAGCATTATTATCATTATCAATCTATAGCATTATTATCATTATCAATCTATAGCATTATTATCATTATCAATCTATATCATTATTATCATTATCAATCTATAGCATTATTATCATTATCAATCTATAGCATTATTATCATTATCAATCTATAGCATTATTATCATTATCAATCTATAGCATTATTATCATTATCAATCTATAGCATTATTATCATTATCAATCTATAGCATTATTATCATTATCAATCTATATCATTATTATCATTATCAATCTATAGCATTATTATCATTATCAATCTATATCATTATTATCATTATCAATCTATAGCATTATTATCATTATCAATCTATAGCATTATTATCATTATCAATCTATAGCATTATTATCATTATCAATCTATAGCATTATTATCATTATCAATCTATAGCATTATTATCATTATCAATCTATAGCATTATTATCATTATCAATCTATAGCATTATTATCATTATCAATCTATATCATTATTATCATTATCAATCTATAGCATTATTATCATTATCAATCTATATCATTATTATCATTATCAATCTATAGCATTATTATCATTATCAATCTATAGCATTATTATCATTATCAATCTATAGCATTATTATCATTATCAATCTATAGCATTATTATCATTATCAATCTATAGCATTATTATCATTATCAATCTATATCATTGTTATCATTATCAATCTATATCATTATTATCATTATCAATCTATAGCATTATTATCATTATCAATCTATATCATTATTATCATTATCAATCTATATCATTATTAATATTATTATCATCATTATTATTATAATCATTATTATTATCATTATCAATCTATAGCATTATTATCATTATCAATCTATAGCATTATTATCATTATCAATCTATAGCATTATTATCATTATCAATCTATATCATTATTATCATTATCACCATCACCATCATTATCACCATCATTATCATCATCATCACCATCACCATCACCATTATCACTAACAATAATGTTCCTAATCTTTCACTCGAAGCCAAAACCAGACACAGGGCTAAGTGGACAACCGCGAGATGTGCCGAGTACACACTGTGCTACCTTCCCCAGCACCCTCACGCCCTTGAAGTTGGCGAGGAAGATGATGAACCACGTGAAGAGAACGGCGCCCACGACCGGCCACACGAGCCCGCCCACCTCGCCCACGCCGCTGCTGATCCTGAGGACTTCGTTGCTGGCAGGAGGGAAGGAGGGAAGGAGAGAGAGAGAGAGAGGTTAGTGAAGTGGATGGGAGGAGGAGGAGGAGGAGGAGGAAGGGGGGAGGAGGAGGAGGAGGAGGGGAGGAGGAGGAGGAGGAGGAAGGGGGGAGGAGGAGGAGGAGGAGGAAGGGGGGAGGAGGAGGAGGAGGAGGGGAAGAGGAGGAGGAGGAGGAAGGGGGGAGGAGGAGGAGGAGGAGGAAGGGGGGAGGAGAAGGAAGAGGAGGAGGAGGAGGAGGAGGGGAAGACTAGGAGGAGGAGGGGAGGAGGAGGAGGAAGAGGAGGAGGAGGGGAGGGGGAGGAGGAGGAGGGGAAAAGAAGGAGGGGAGGAGGAGGAGGAGGAGGAAGAGGAGGAGGAGGAGGGTGGTGGTGGTGGTGATAGCGATGGTAACGGTAAGGGTGATGGTAACGGTGATAGAGGTAGTGATGATAGTAATGATGATGAATGACGAGGAGGATGAGGATGAGGATGATGATAATGATGATGATGATGATGATTATGATGATGATAATGATGATAATGATGATGAATGATAATGATGATGATGATGATGATGATGATGATGGTGATTATAATGCTGATAAAACAAATGTAACATAAACAATAATGTTGTAGACCATTCGAGGACCAATTTTCATTTCAATTACCATTACCAACATTAATACATGATTATGTTAACAAACGTATTACGTGCGTGACCGTAAAGTTTGTCTTACTGATTAGAATTTAAGTGGTTATATTAATGACAATATGATATACATATCTATGTATTAGTCACGGATAGATACAGTTTTATGCATTATTTCCTTTTAGTTTTTAAACAGAAGATTCAATGATTTTCATTTCTAATAGTAATATTTTTTATGATAACGGTACAGCTAGCAATAGCAGTATATTTGAAATAATTATCCTGGAATAAAGGTTATTCATGAATTCTCAATTTCTCGATCATTAAATACTTTCCTTCATGACGATGGTCATTTATGACCATCCCGAGGGCCACATTTGACCAGCGGGCCATGAGTTAGACACCCCTGCAGTACACTTTCCTGACGCATTGGGTATTAGGAACATGGTATACTTTACGCTCAAACTGTAAGTTCTGAGCATGTTTCTTCTGGAAACATTCTAATCTATTTTTTTAGAAAACCTTTTTCATACTATCTACAGATTTATTCACTCTGAGGTAATGTCATTTTATTTTGCTTTTATTGTGTATCCTTCGCTAATAAATCTGAAATTCATGTGTATTCAACATAGAATGTTAGATATACAATAAAATTCCGTATGTATTAGCGAAAAATAATAAAATCAAATGAGATTATGCAAAGAATCGATAAATCCTTAGACAACGAGTATTGAGAAAAATAAAAATAAAAACGTATTAAGTAGATCATATTGCAGATCATGAACACATGGTCTCGCATATTCAGGTTATATTTGATTAGATAACAGAGATTGAATGCCTAGATAAGATATTGCAGTGATCCTTTGGCCTCGTATTATAAATGGATGAATTGATAATTTCATCCCAATTTTTAAGCCAAACAGAGTAGCAGTAAAGCAAAATATATATATATATATATTATGCCAGTAGTATCTAACCCGCTGCCTCTTAAATTATCTAGTTGATTTTTTTCTCATTCGTTTTCCTTTACTTTTTGTATTTAATGTATTTAATGGTAATCAAATCTCAATTTATGATCAATGAAATTAGTGGTTGAATGTGAAGATTATAAGCCATGTGAATAAATATGATGTTTGTTTATTTTATCAACATGAAATAAGTTCTTGTCGGGACTTACTGAAAGAATTCGTCAGCAGAAGACACGACTGTCTGTGTCCCGTTCTCTGTCTTGTTTTCCTGAAATAAAACAATTTCTTAGTTACTGCAGTTGACCAGTATGTATGAGTCCTCCTCATTATAAATGAATATAACATTTACATATTCAATTTTATTAACTCCCTGTGTATAATCTTCATTTCATTAGACATTTTAATTAAACTGCAAACAAACTTCATATGTCCTTCATTAATGAGGAATACGTATTTGCAAACATGATGTATCAATTTCTCTCTAACTTTATAATCATCCTCCCTATGGACAATGCAATCAAGTCACTCGATACACAATTGACTCATCTTTGGAAACAGTTCTAAACGGTATATACCTTTAGTTAACATGTAGGAAAAGTATTTACAAAACTTATTGTAACATCCCTCGGATTATATTTCTTTTGATAGACAGCGTAACCAATTCAATCACTAGTCATTACAAAAGGAAACCATCTTTGTAAATAATCAGAAACATAACGTACCATCAAAACCGATTTTGTCATTTTGTCACAAATCTCATACATTTTAAAATTCAAATGAGTTACTCATATACAAAACGGCTTTTGTCATCTTACCACGAAATCGGCTCTGGTCCTCGTGCAGTGTTCCGTGTTCCATTCGTTATCACAGGAGGTCCAGGGCAGCTCCCTCCTGAGTGAGTGGTAGACGAAGAGCAGCGGATACGCAACTAACGTAGTGTAGTATCCCGTCTGAAGGAAGTTCACGATGGTCGCTGCTATGCCGGCGCCTGCGGGAGGAGGGCTGGTGTGAGGAAAGGGAGGCTGCATCAAGGCTGGTTCTTGGGGCCTGTTTAGGGGCGTGCCGAAGGGTTTCTGTTGGGGCGCGGGTATCTAGTTCGC